TACCTCAGCGTACGACAGGTATACTTTTGCAGCACATCACACTACAATCAATTGCTGCTACAGTAAAAAAAAAAAACGCCATAGTATTGCCCTCTCATATTCGTAAACAACACTTCAGTGACATTTAGAGAGGTGGTGAAGAGCTTTTGTGGATGCGAAAGAATTGCTCTCAAAGTAAAGACGGTAAAAGATATAAATAAGTTTATTAAGGACACACGTACATATTTACTTCTGTTAGAAAAGTACCTGGTCAATAAAACCCATATTATTTATTATTATTTATTAATTATTATAAGTCCCTCCATTTGTTGGAAAAACATCTAGACGCAAAACCACAAATTGGTGGAGGAACTCGGCCGAAAAATCGCTTTAGCGGTTACAAATTATATATATTTGTTATTCACTCACCTTCATATTCACTTACCCGCGGTACTTTGGTTTAGCCAATAGACTCAAAAATTGAGGGGACTACAGCTTACTGAAGCTGAGTATCAAAAACTTGGGGCAAAAAACGAACAGATGGCAACCTCTAGCTGGAGCTGTACGTAAACACTTAATAAAAATGTGTTTGTAGATTCTTCTTCACTACTGGTGTAGACACTGCTTACGTGTTTGGAGCCGAGATAACAAACTGCGCACCATTCATGAACCCTTTTCGCTGTTTGGCGACCGTAAAGCCTGGTTCCTTTCCCTCTGACTTGGCCTTGTTTTTATGCTGTTTCAAAGCTGGAGTGCTTTCACTCGTTTGAACTACATGAGTTAACTAGCGCAGCCTCTATGTCTTCATTCGCTGAACTATGTCAATGTCGGCGTATAACTCGTACAGCTCATCGTTCCCCCGTCTGCGATATTCGCCGCTCCCAACTCGTAGAGGACCGTAAATCTTACGCAAAAACTTTCTCTCGAAAACTTCTTACGCCAACTCATGAGTTGATATCATCGTCCATAACTCTGTGATATAGAGACGGAGGGGAATAATAACGGACTTGCAGAGTTTTGTCTTTAGCCGTCGATGGAGGATTTTACTATTCAATTGCTTACTCAGTTCAAAGCTTTATGTGTTGGTAATAATGCTTTCACTTTGAATTTCAAGGCTGATATTGTCATTGGTGTTAACACTGGCTCCCAGAACCAGAAATTATCTACGACCTCGAAGTTATGCCTATCAATAGTAACGTGGCAGCAAAGACGCATGTATACGGACTCTTAGTTTGATTAAATGATACGAGATATCTCTATGTCCTAGACTCTTATAGAAGATAGTACCTTCTCTGTTTAGCTTTGCAGCTCAGATAATTTTTTCCAACATTAAATTAAAGAAGTCATACGATAAGGAGTCACCTTGTCTGAAACCTCGTTTGATATCGAACGTCTCGGAGAGGTCCTTCCCGATCCAAATGTAGCTTTTAGCATTTACACAGCCGTATAAATTTTGCGGGAATACCAAATTCAGACATAGCGGCGTAGAATCAGCGCCATATCCGGCTGCTTCGTTTCCACAGCCGTTCTATAAATTCAGTGTACCCTGGGCATCAGTCACTAGATCACCTCTCTGGGTACTAAATTTTCCTAGAATTTTCAGCCTTGTCGGCCAACATCTAAAGTTCTTCATACTCACGCATCTCTGCCTTTTTTTGTCCGCAAGTGCGTCTTACTTCCCTCTTCAGTTCATGGTATTATACTACCCCACACGTGTGGTGGTCGATCGCAAGGTTGCGCGTCTGTTTTCTCTACACTGCAGCAGCGGCTCGTAGGGAGCTTGAGAAGCTGTTCCATACCTCCCTTGTATCGATATGGCTGTATCTTTTTTTGATAAGAAGGACCATATCATAAACCCATCGAGGCTTGGGTGCAAATCAACGATATGTCCGAATCCACACTCAAATTTCTCTTGTTTGCATGGCCGCAGTAGTAAATGTCACCAGGACCTATTCGTTTCCGTCCTCGACCAACCCATCGCACTTCTCGGGGAGCCGTGATCTTTCGAGGACATCAACCAGCTGACCAGCGATACCTTCCCAATTAAGGGACCAGATATTCCAGGTGAATGGCTTCAAATCTTGATCCCTAACACGATTGCGGGCATGGTCATCCAACGTGATACTAATCCAAGGCATGGGCCTCGCCTTCACACTGTTGCTCGGCTCGGATATTGTGAGTTGCTTGACTCATAGTCAAAAGAATCGTTTCTAACTATTCCTAGGTGAATGGAAGTTAAAAACTTGCATGAATTTCTGCACATAATCCCATCTTCTACACAGCAGAGCACACTCAGATACCAAACAGACTTTCTGTAGATCTTATTTTGCAAAGACGTTCATGAGGATTCCAATCTATGTGTTCTGCTCTTTCTCACAACAAAAATAAAAAGCAGTGCTCACATCCAAAGGTCAGATCGGAGGTAAACCACCAATGCGGTAACATTTCCAACTCGGCATTTAAAAATCACTGCCCCTCGGTTCGGCGGATGGATTGAGGAAGTGCAAGGCGTCGGTCTGGAACTATCAAACTTTGGGAGGCCTTAAAGAATAGCGATAGTGTGGACCGATTATCAAAAAAAAAAAACTAAAGATGATTAAATAAAAACTCTTCAAAAAAAAAAAAATATATATATATATATTCATGGTGAAAATACTATTTGTGTATATTTGCTTTGCATTTACACAGACAGTCAGCAAAAAACGGAAAAACAGCAGTTGACATACATATATAATATATGTTTGTATGTATGGACTTCTATTGGCGCTGGCGGATATTTTTCCACTATCGAACTGTGATTATTTCAACAAAAAAATTGTTATCAATTTCAATCGAATAAATAGCTGACGGCATTTCTAATTAATTCATCAAGTACTGAACATATTTTTGGAATGAATAAATAATACTTTTTTATCTTATAATGAGTGATTTTTAATCAAAAAAAGTGAAAGCATTTAGTACACATTAAGACCAGAAAGTTTCCGGAAATTGTCATTTAAACTGCCCGCGCTAAATATTTTTTTGCACATTTTTTTCCCTTAATTCCTTTCTCCTTAATTACAATGCCAAAAATAAGCGCGAAAATTAGATATCTCTAGACCTGGTCAGATCGATTTAATTAAAAAAAATTAAGTTATTCTTTAATCGACGATAAAGGAGGTTCTCAATTCGTCGCTTATATATTTTTTTACTTTAACAGAGTGGTCCGATTTTTATGATCCTCTTTGTATTGGGCAGGACATGCTTTGAAAATAGGAAAATTTTAAACCATAGGGTAGAAAAAGGGGGGATAAATCTATGATTTCATAATTTTTCCTATAACAGCTATGATGTAAATACTTCGAAGCTTGCCCCCATAATATTGAGAAATATAAAATAGAAATTCTTACGGTAAAAATGGAAACCTAGATGTTGTTCCCTGTGAATTGCTTGCTACGAAAAAAGTGAAATATGTTTCAAATAATGGATTAAAAAACTATGCAAAAAGAACTTAAATTATTATTATTACTTATTTAGACTTCATAAATAAATTCTTAAGCTAATGCAAGTTTACCTTAATAGTTTTTAGTCGCCGCTTAACAATCGATGAATAAAGATCAGCAAAATATTAAATATAACCAAATCTAATTAACAATTAACCGTGGAAACTGGCTGTGATGGCATTTTTGGGAAAGAAGTTGTAAAATTTTGGCAAAAGCGGTGACTGTGATTACAATACAAGATGCGTTCCAAAGTAAACAGAACTTTTAAAAAAACGATAGAACAAATGGTTTTATCGCCAAAATCCATTAATTTTATTCAAAATAGTCTCCTTCTGCTTTGATACAGCTTTTTGCACGGTCCAAAAGCAGGTCGAAAGTGTGTTTTAGCTCGTTAGCCGGTAATGCCGCCAGTATGCCGGTGCAAGCCTTTTGAGTGGCCTCCACGTGTGCATAGCGCTTTCCTTTCATCAGCAAATTGCATTTTTCCGAAAAGATAGAAGTCGCACGATGCCATATCAGGTGAATATGGGGAGTGGTTGATTGTTAAAATGCGATTTTTGGTCAAATATTCGGTCAAAAGCGTCGATCGATGAGACGGCGCTTTGTCGTGCAACAAACGCTAACTTCCAACTTCGCGATATTCGGGCCGAACACGTCGAATACGGCGCACCAAACGCTTCAAAACTCCAAGGTAGAATACCGCATTAACATTTTGGCCGGGTGGAATGATGATTTCGGCTGATTTTATTTTTTATGAATTCACACACAGTTTCGATGGAATTTTCGGTGATCACGGATTTTTGTTGGCCCACATGTTCATCGTCATTTATGTCCTCACGACCAGTTTGAAAACGTTGAAACCACTCGTGCACTCTGCTACGGGGTAGGCAATCATCGCCATAAACTTGTTTCATCAATTGAAACGTTCGGTAAAAGTTGTACCAGTTTTAAAACAAAATCTAATGTTGGCTCTTTGTTCGAAGCTCATTTTCGCACCGATGACAAAAACATACTGACACTTAAAACGCATTAACTTTACTTCCAATAGATGAAATGTCATTAAAAATTTTACTGGAAGTTGATAAAGGAAAGCAGATTCTAACGCACTAGTCGACATATAAATGGCGCCACTAGAGGGCGCTAGATTCAAAAAGTTCTGTTTACCTTGGAACCCACCTTGTAATGTCAAGAGCACAGGCTAGTGGAGCATGTGTCTATTTTTCGCTGTGCTGCTTATTGTTATAATTTGGAAGAAATTTTATAGGTCTTTCACTGACATCGCCATACAACTTGCAGGCATGAATACAAAAGCCGTTCTGTCACGGAAACTAGTTCAACCAGTTTGTGGTGTAATTTTCTTCCCAGAAATGAAGAGTTGTCGAGTTGACTCCAACCAGCCAATATTAAACGAAAAATTTATTTTCGCAGTTGATAAAAACATAGTTTTATTTTCTACTTTTTTATTTCTTATAAAAAAATTCAATCTCGTAAATATAAAAAAAAAATTATCTTGAATTTAATTATTTATTCTCTTTGCAGCATCGGCGTTAGTTCATCTAAATCCTTTATGAAAGCCAGCTCAAGGCAAGATTTAATTAAGTTACCCGTACAACAAGTGAAGAAAATCGATCGTTGGGATTCATTACGCGGTTCGACGTCTGACACTTTTACGGAGGAGAATTTCGGTCCATTGTCTAATGTGAGGTATGTGTGATATATTTATAATAATTTTTATGCACTTGTTTTCACATAATTTTCCAAAATACGATAGCAAGCTTCAAAGATATTTAGTTTGTGAACTCTTTTAATATTTTTATTTGCACGAATCAAGTTTGCAGGTTGAGAATTTTTTGTTTTTGATTGCAACCAACCTTGAAATTTACTTTTTTTTTTATTTATATTCACGACTTGGAAAGTGGTTAAACATTTTGTTTGTTTGTCCTCGTTTGACTCTTAGACATTGTTGTCTAATTACAGTCGTCCCTTAGCAGTGAATGTTAAAAAGTGTCATAAAAATCCGTCCATGCATCAATTCATGTGCTGGAAATCACATCAAGATGCACACGACAAATTATAGGAGGGCCTCGGCCGAAAACCGTTTCAGCAATATAATTTTCACTTCTCTAGGGGCAGAATTTCAGGAAACCTTGACCCAACACAGCCAGTTTACATTGAGGTAGGACCAAGAATGCAAAAAAAAAAATTTGAAAATGATTTTGGGTAAGTTACCGTCGAGGTTGGCTCGAATGAATTCCAGCCGGGAGACAAAATTTTCGATTGGTGGTCGAATGTCAACATCAACGCGCCAAATTCTCTTCCAAGACGTCAATTGCCCAGGGATCATCTGCGGTGTTAAGCCGCAAGATCTTTGAAGCCACGCCACAGGCCCATAACGCGAGATAAGGCGCTCACCAAATATTTCCTCCAGTGAATTGATTGTTTCTTTGGCTGTATGTTATATAACATCGTTTAGTTGGACCAAAGATCGACCATATCAACATTCCCATCCACTGCTACCATTCATATTCGAAGAAATTTGAACCCCTGATTTCCTCTGCACAGAGTGCACACCAAGCATTCATCTTTTGTGGATGACAGAGAATTTCAGCAAATGCGACAATTTTGTTTTTAGTTGTATCCATTCAGCCAAATTTAAGCTGAACCATAATCTCAAACTTTTCTTTTGCAAATCGGGATCAGTAGCCATATCGTTCGATGGTTATTCGGCTTCAAGTCTTACACCGGGTGGATTTTTTAAGCCCGATAACCAATATCCTTCCTTAAAATCTTCAATAAAGTTGATGGGCACAGTTCCAGTTATTGCGATGCGCGATGGCGGTTAGGCTCGTTCAGGTCTTCTTCGATACTCTGCTCCACAGCAGCTATTGGCTCTTCGGTGCGTACTGTACGGCGTCTCTGAAAGTGCGCATTATTTACTAGAGTAAACGTGCATTGCCTATTTAAAAACTAAACTCCACAAAAAAGAAAAAAAAGAACAAAATTACACAAAAAAGGGACCCATAATATTTTGCATTAATTAAATCTCAATTAGGACTTTTCAATATTTCTTACGTACTATTGTACTTCCTATACAATATCCATTATAGTATAAATTGAGCAAAATTCAGAAAGCCAGTTCACGGTGTGGCCGGCTCTTTTAATTCATGTCAGAAATATACTTGGATGACATTCGCTGCCGAGGGCCAACCTCAAATTTAACTTAATTTTTTATTTAAATATTATAATTGTCTATAACATATTTTTTTGCATTTATGTTTTTCTATATATTTCCATAACTACACACATAATTACACTTTTCATGTTTACGCCTATTATTTTGAGAATATTATGTATTAGAGTTTTCAACTAACGAAACAAGGTCATTTTGTTTTGTCAATATGAAAATCAACCTTTCCAAAATGATTTTTTGTTTTCGTTTTGGCGCCATATCATCGAAACGAAAAGAAATTGTTATTATTGAACCAAATCAGCGTTGACTTTATTTTTAGAATGGATGCTGCCTTGATATTAACAGTCCACTTCAGTTTTAAAGTTTTACATTGTCTGTTAACGCTTAACATTATCTGTTAACGTTGTAACATTAACAACAGCTTTTCCTTTTGGGTAAAAATTAAATAAAAATTTATTTTGATAACTGCTTTAACGATAACATTTCCAAATCTTTTAACCGATTAAAATATTTTGTTATTAAATCGTTTTACGTTAATCCTCATACTTCACGCACTTAGTTGTTTACAGCACTAGATACCGACTAGCCGATAACATAAGTAATACAACAGTGGGTAATAGAGCCTTTGCGGCACTTTCCTTTAGGGGGAATAATTCATCCCACATTGCATAACGATCCACATAAAAGGGATTGCTTATAAATGGATACTTGTTATTGTATAAAACCACAAGCTCGTCGGCAGTAGATGGTGTCCATGTAATATTTTCAATTACTGGCGGTTTGCTAGAGGAAATATGTAGATAAATAAAATTAATATTAAATATAATATTATGCAATCCACTGAACTCGTTGCTTACCCATTTGCAGCGAATGTTGCAATAACATTGACCATACGATCGACCATAAATATGTCCGTGGAGTTATTCTCCACACTGAAGCTTGTTCTGGGCAGAATATAAATTATATCATCTGCATGGCAAGCTCCTGGATTAGAGTGTAAGAATAAATTTAACTTTTATTAAAATAGTTGAAAATATAAATTAAATTTTTTGTTGTTGTATATTTTACTTAAAGATAAGATTAACAGCGGTTCGCAAAGTAGCTCATACACGTATGCACGTAGATACTTAGCGCGGTATAGAGAAAACTAGAAAAGTGATTAATGACATGCTTGAGTACATGAGTGTTGGTCGATTAAATTATCTCTTTGAGAATTTGTCCACTATCTTTCAGTACTCGTTTATACATTGATTTCAGACCACAACAAAATTTACAAAATATATCCCTAATTTGATATGCGGAAAAATGATATTTGTTTTGTTATGCTTGAAAAAGATTTTTATTTTATAAAAAATTTATATAAAAAATAATAATAAAAATGTTGAAATTGAAAAAAATAAATATTGTACCCAATTGACCCAAGGTTCATTGAATACAAGGTTACGACAACCGTTGTCTTCACCGAACCGACTTCGTCATATTATATAAAAATGTTTATGTATGTAAAGATATATGAGAAAAATTTCTTATACAAAAGAAAACATAAATTATAGAAATTTTGCTTTTGAATTTACGTACTAACGCAACCGCAGCCACATAGTATTTGTCCACTTTTTTATTAAAAGATTGCCCAAAAATTACCAAAAAATAAGCTACTGTGCATGATTTTGATCAAATCGAGGTCGAGGTGGCCGAATACCGTTCGGGGATTTTTCACTCAGAGATAAGACACGTTCAGGTTGGTCAACTGAAGTTGATGATAAACGAATCGGATAGCGAGATTGGAGAGAAGTTAAGTATACCAAATATCAACCGCTCACTGGTGAAAAACACTTTATATTTGGGTACCACATGAATTGAAAGAAATTCATTTAACCAGCCGCTCCAACGCTTGTCATATGTGTCTTGAACGCAGTGAATATGATCCGTTTCTGAAACAAATCATAATTGGAGATGAAAAATGGATTGTTTACAATAACATCAACCGAAAGCGGTCATGGTCCAAGCACGATGAAGCGCCAGAAACCACTTCAAAGGCTGATATTCACCAAAAGAAGATTATGCTGTCAGTTAAGTGCGATTGGAAGGTTGTGGTATATTTTGAGCTGCTTCCAAGAAACCAAACGATTAATTCGTATGTCTACTGTGAATAACTTTACAAATTGAATATGCAAATACATCAACGGGAAGCGGCCAGAATTGGTCAATCGTAAAAGTGTCATATTCCACCCGGACAATGCTAGACCGCACACATCTGTGGTCACTCGCCATAACCCGAGAGAGCTTGGCTGGTAACTGTTGATACATCAAACATATGGCACTGACCTTACACTGTCAGACTACGATTTGCGTTGATCTTTGCAGAACTCATTGAATGGTAAAACTTTCGAAATTGGCGAGGCCATAAGATCGCACTTGGTTCAGTTTTTTGCAGCTAAAGAAAATGTGTAAGGGTTCAAATCCTGGTGACGTACTAACATCCAAAAAGTTTATAAAAAATTTATTTAAATAAAAAATTAAGTTAAATTTTCTAATTGCGACTGCCGCCCGGCAGGGAATATCCACCCCTCCGAGTGTATTGCTGACATGAAATAAAGACTTCTCATAAAAAACCCATCAGCCGTATGGAGGCGGCTTAGTATAAACTGTAGGTCCCTCCATTTTTTGGAAAAACATCAAGGCGCAAAACCACAGTTTGGAGGAGCAGCTCGGCCGAAAGTTGCTTCAACTATATATTGTATATATAAATATATATATAATGATTTTGTCAGAAAGATAGCGAAAGGTCATACAATGCAATTGAAATGAAATAAATTATTAAGGCTCATTATAAAATTAAAAAAAAAATTATTCAATTTCTTTTAAAAAATCGCCGGCTTCCCTTGGGAAATCTAAAGGTTTAAAAAAATATTTTTTTTTTGAATATTTTTAAGCACGCTACTTTGCATACGTAGCCCAGAAATTGGTTTTCTAGCGATTTTAAATTTTTCTAAATTATTTAATTCTTTGTTTGGAAGCATAAACGAGGGCTCACTTTGACAATTTTTTGTATTTTTTTCTTCATTTTTTTTTTTAATTTCAGCTAAATTTTTGTTTGGCTTAGAAATTTTGATGTGCTGAGTTTCAGTCAACTTGAAGAGCAACACACAAAAGTGTGGTGTCACAGTTAATATGAAATGACATACATAAATGACGACATACATACATACCTTGAGGTTTTCCCAAACTGTCAGGAAATTCTGATTTTTCTCCAACATAATCGAAACGATAATAATAAACGTCTGTGAAATTCCTTGCCAGCTCTACTAATCTGTGCACACCATGCCCGATGATGGCGTCCGATGTCATTTGACCAAAACCAACCAAATTATATTTGTAAATGTCTGTTGTGTTGTAATAGAAGCTACGTATAGTCCTTGCTTTGCTTTCGTCTGTGCTGTTGAGTTGCAAAAACTCCGGCGCGTAAAGAGCAAAATTTTCGTTGATATCATCAAGCAGATCGGTGTCATTTTCCTTTGCTAATAAAAATTTATTTAAACTTTTTTTTTACACTTCTATGTGTATACATATGTACATATGCGCCACTCACCTTGTATAGAAAAGTCAAATTCATTATAAGTTATACCAGCAATTATTGGTACACGATGAAATCTGTTACTGCGAATCGACTCAATGGGATGTTCCAACAGAAACGTGCCATCAATTTCATAATTCCACTTTATATGCGGAAGATCATACGTTCTCCAACCCTCCGTCACATTAACTATTTGCTGCCAACTAACTTGTCTGAGACAATTTAGTAAATATTTTGTATTGAACCTTGGACAGCCGAGGTCGTGTGCTAATTTTCGACTCCAATACGCATTATCTATGTCATAATGATGTGTGGCACTGCCACTCATTACAACGGCGCCACTAAAGAGACCACTCGACATGGGTGATACCAAATGCAACGTGACTGCCATGCCGCCAGCGCTTAAGCCGAGTATAGTGACACGCGTGGGATCACCACCGAAACTCCTTATATGCGCTTGCACCCATTTAAGCGCCAACACTTGATCCAAATAACCGTAATTTCCACTTGCCTCATACGTGCTCGTACTCAAGAACCCGAAGGCACCCAAACGAAACTGTATACCGACCAACACCACATTCTCATCCAGTAAATACTTCGGACTGGCGCCATATTCACTATTTGCATTCCCATATATATTTCCACCGCCATGTATATAGACTATGACGGGTTCTGTTGCATTTACATTGGTGGTATAGACGTTTAGTGAGAGGCAATCCTCAGACTCAGTCAAACCCTCAGTTAGGCCACCTTGCGGACATATTGGACCATCGGCCAATGCGTCTAAGGTATCGTTCCATGGCTCAACTGGTACAGGTGGTGCAAAACGTCGCAATCCGGTCGGTGATTTTGCGTAGTGGATACCACGATATGCGTAGATATCTCGGCCTCTACGCGTTGTCAGCACATCGCCTCGTATATTACCAAGCGCAGTTTCTACAATCGGCGCTTGCTGATGGGAAAACTGTATGAGGAGCAGCAAGAATGAAGAGACGAGTAAAATCGGTTTTTCCATATTGACTTTTGCAAAGGAACTAAACATCGATTCGATTTGCGCCTCATTGAGAAAACTACATTTATTTGAAAAGTGATAAGTTAAAGCAGGGAAGGTAAGCAAAAGTTCTTATGGAGGGGTAAAACCATTTGTACAACAACATTTGACATTGAATTGCATATATATTGATGGTTCGAAACCTGGTGCGACCTACAACCGGAAATGAACGAAAATTAATTTTTCTAATTGGGTTCACCTCTCGGTAGTGAATGTCCCGCCGAGTGAGTTCTGACACCAAAAAACTGCTCATAAGATTGCATCGGCTTAAAATGAACTGTAGGTGCCTCTTTTTGTTCAAGACAAATGCCACAAATTAGAAGAGGAGCTCGCTCGAAAATAGCGTCAGCAGTTACAAAGCAACAATCCTTTATATATATATATAAAGGATGTTTTTTGACATGTGGTTTTCAATGAGGCAATACTTTTTTCGGAGTTGGTCAGCAGGCCACATCCTCAGAGATGCCGTACAGTGCTCACCAAAGACGCCATTACTGCAGTAGAGCATGGAAGAAGACCCGAAGGAGTCCATCCTTCTTCGCGCGGAATAATTGGTTTGCTGGCTAACAGAATCTAACTCGTGCAAGAATTGAAACCGAACAACCATTAAGCGCGTCGGAGACCCTAAACGAAATAGACACCGATGCCGATTTCCGCAAGAAAATTTTGTTCACCTTTGAAACTCACTTTTAGCTGAATAGTTCGAAATTGTCTCACTTGGAGGTAGGATAATCCACTACCCATTGCTGATATGCCGTTATATATCGTGTATATAATTGGCGCTTTGTAAGCGCTGAAGCGACTTATCGGCCGATATGCCGTTACGTCCTTAAAAAGTCACTATTGGGTGTGCTCTGCGGGCAGAGAGAGAGTAATCGGTTCATATTTGTTCAAAATTGACGCCGGCCATACAGCCATTTACCGTCAATGGGGAATACAATAAACCAAATGATCATTTACTTTTTCGTGCCTGAATTGGAGAATATTGTTACGGACGATCTTGGGTTCCAACAAAACGGCGCTAAATTCCATACAAGGGAAGGAACTTTTGCTGAGCGCGTTGTATCCCGTCACGGGTCTTTAGCGTGACCTCAAAGATCGTACGATTTAACTCCGCTGAACTAGTTTTTGTGAGGTTATGTGAAGTCGCTTGCTTGTCTACGAATAGCAGCTCGAGACGATTGACGCTTTGAAGGAGAATATTCGGCTTGTTATTGCTGAAATACGGCCCCAATGCCTGATAAAGTGGCCAAAAATTGAGCCTCCCGACTGGAATTTATTTGACCCAGCCGCCTTAAACATATTTAAAAACTTAGGGCGAACTCTTGTCTTTATAAGTAAACTAATTCTTGGAAATCACAAGTCTAAAAAACACCCTTTATTTATTTACAAGTACCTTTTGAATATAAAATTTGTTGTAATATTCTAGAACTGCTGGAGCTTGTCATCTGGGGTCTGAGCAATATTTACAGGCATAAATTCCTTAATAATTTTAATTAATTTCTACTCCACTGTGAAATCTGAAGTATTTTTGTTTTCATTTGAAACTTTTTAATAGATGCGTGCTAGTTTGATAATAAACCACTTAACACTTAATGTACATACTTATATAAATATATTTTTACTTCTATTATTCAAAATACTTACAATTATACAGGGTATTCGTGCATTAGCGCATTTTGTTTGTATAAAAACATTATTTTTTTCAACTCTTTCGATATTTGTCTGCTCTCGTTTACATATGTATGTACATGCATGGGCGCACTATGCAACTGCGGAGTCTAAACTAAGTGAGCACTTTGTGTGGTGGCATGGTTTGTGTACTCGTAGCAGATGTTGAACAATTTGCTGGCCATTGATCGTGTTGCCATAGTACGAGGGGATTAACAAAAGTTAAATCTAAAAATACAAAATTCTTTGCCATTACTTTATTAGTCTTCCTTTCAAATTTTAGAACGATCGGTTAACGAGGTCAACTAATATATTCCACCGATGACGTCACTATAGTTCAAGTGGAGTCTGAAATCGGCACAAGAAATGATTGCTAATGAATTTGGCTTGAATACCATGGCTACATCGCGAATATTAAGTAATCATCTGGGATATACGAAGAAACCAGCTTGATGGGATACGACAAATTTTTAATGAGGCCCAAAAAGTGGCTCGAGTGCATTTTGCTCAATTTTTCCTAAGTAAATTCGAAAATGGTCAGCCTAGCAAGTTTAGTAAAATCGTTACGAATCGTGACGAATCTTAGTTCTATAAGTACGATCCAGAAATCAAACAGCAGTCCATGGTATGGAGCCCAACAGGAGCAAAGCCACCGGTAATATTTAGGTAAAAAAATCAGCAGCAAAAGTAATGATGCCAGTTCATTTCACCCGATCGAAAATAATAGCTGCTTTTCCAGTGCAAAAGGGTCAGGCGGTGACTGCAAAATGGTACAGCGAAGAGTGCTTACCAAAAATTTTCAAAAATTTATTGGAAAATAGGAAGATAGATGATTTTCAGCGCTACTTTTTACATCATGACCACGCGCCATCCCACACTGTTGAAATAACGAGGAATTTTATTGCGATATTTGGGATATAAGAAATACGTCCAGCACCATATTCCCCGGATATAGCACCTTGTGATTTCCGGTTGTTTTCTGTTGTTTTGGAGACTGTTTTCAGAAGTGGATCTATAGGCATAAGAAAGACTTTGAAATCAATGGCGATGGCATAAAAATGCACAAAGATTACGATTAAATACAAAAATATTTTTGTTTTCTGGTCAACTTACCGATCTTTTGTTAATCCCCTCCTATATGGAGCAACAACGGAAGTGAAAACAAAGCGAATAAAAATGAGAGAGTTTCCTATTTTCTCCGTGAGTCCCCAGCTCTATCTCCAATTCGACATCTCCAATTTTTTGCCGAGCTCCTCCTTTAATTTGTAGTTTCGCGTCTTGATGTTTTTCCAACAAATGTTGTTGTTGATAAATGTCAATCGATAACGTCGATTGTAATAGAAAATGAGTTTACACGGATGTCGACTACGAGTGAAGAAGCGTTCGAATTCGCTGGCTGGTTTTAGTATGCAAAAGTACTTATAATGATTTCTATGTTTTATCATTTAATGACACAGCAAGGCAATTGCTTACCTCTTCCCAAACATTTTAAAGCCAACACTTCGTACTTAATTATATATTATTATGATTCCCAACCCACCTACCGCCCATCCATACGAGAGGCTCAGTCTGCATGACAATGGAATTTTTATTTTATTTTCTTTAATAACGTGTTACGCACTGAGCAGAAGTGTTTTTATTGTCGAAAATTAAAACTGCAGAACAAAAATTCTTCAGCAGAAAATTAAAATTAAAATTAAAATATAGAACTTCCAAACCAGGCCGCACATTGCTGGGGCAAAGAATGAAAAAAATCCTATTTTTTTATTTTTTTTTATTTTTTATTGATCTAATTTTTTGTGTGGTCCATTTCTTCGTTGCTCAAAATCTCTCTCGACATTGTCAGACTAACCGAGTAAATGGAACCAAAAAAAATTTTTTTTTAGTTTGCTCCTTGGTCCACTTATCGTACATAACTTTCCACGAACCATAGAAATAAACTGACAAATATTCTGTATACCCGTTTTTATATATTTACATTAGTTGAGAGCCGACAAAATTGCTTTCTTAATATGAAAGCGTGAGTCAGTTATGTCAAAAGTGTTAGAATGAGAGTTGAAATCAAGACAAGTCAACCGTCAACGTCGCTTACGGCAACTCTCTTCATCAGCTGGAAAAAGGAGCACCGACTCGACCTGAATGTTAAAGTCGAGATACAGATGAAGAAGTTCTGAAGTTCTGACAAGCTAGAAGAACAACTTGAGATTCATGGCTATAGGAAGGGCAATCCGGACTGGCAAACATACTAGAAGGGAAAAACGATGGAAGAGTTCAGTTGTTGGGCGAACTTTAAAGAGCTATTACATAGACTTTTGCTATTGACGTCGTATGTAAAGACTATTTATATATTGAAGGCATAATATAGATTGAATAAAGAACAATACCCATGTTTTAACCAGCGGTAAAGCGACCGGAGCGGTTAGCAGGCGGTCAACCACTCGGAGTGCGTTTCTGACCTGAAATAAAGCTCCTCATGAAGAAAACCATCAGCCGTTCGGAGGAGGGTTAGTATAAACTGAAGGCCCCTCCATTCGCTTAAAAAACATCAAGCTGCTGAAACCAAAAATTGGAGGAGGAGCTCTGCATCAGCGGATACAAAGCTTCAATTATAAATGATGGCACCGGAGGTGGAGAGCGATCTGGTTGCACTTTGGTTATTTCAAATGGCGCGGTAAACATGGAAAAGAAGGGATGACTGATGCGCTAAGATTGGTGCGATTACATTCGCGTAAAGCTCCTAATAAAGAAAACCATCAGCCGTACGGAGGCGACTTAGTATAAACTGTAGGTCTCTTCATTCGTTGGGTAAACATGAAGACGCAAAACCAAAAGTTGCTGCTAGGACTTCAACGTTGTATGGTTTCAATATATGTCTGATTGGGGACAACAAGTGTAGGAAATTTAGGGAATGTGTGGAAACAGCTGTAATCTGTGAGTGTTCTGAATTCGGCAGGCAAAGGCTACAGCACTTTCAATTGGCAATGGCCAAGAGTCCAAAACGATTACTTCAATTGCGAAACGTATAGCAATGTTCTTCAGACTAGAGGGGCAATAAAAGTGGGCCTGGTAATACTGTATAAGATGTAATATCTTCAGTACAACTTAAGTTTCATGCTCCTAGGTAAATAATATACAGTTACATGCAGTATATGTACTCGTACTTGCAGACACCTGCGAGAGACTGAGCCACTCACAGGCATGTCTGCAAGAGAGAACTCAACTTTCCAGCGCAATCGGACAGCACGATCTACAGCAGGTATTTTCACGGGTATATTGATCTTCTTTCAAGCTCAAAATTACGTTGGCTTTCAGCTTTAAGCCTTCAGTTTACCATACGTTTCAGTAATCTTTAGAATGAACTCGTCTTATATTTTGAAATTGAAAAAATAAATGGTCTTTTCTTGTATTTTGCACTTTCAGATTTGCGGTGTTTGCTTTGGGTTCCTCTGCTTATCCTAACTTTTGCGCTTTTGGTCAATATGTGGACAATGTACTGGGTGAGTTGGGCGGTGAACGCCTGTTAAAGATGGCATATGGAGATGAGATGTGTGGTCAAGAGCAATCTTTCCGTAGATGGGCGCCAGAGGTATTTAAGGTGAGTTACATTTCACTATCATACATATTGTATATATGTACATAAGAGTATGTAAATTTGAAGTAAGTCGATGAGTCTTATTTCTACGTAATGCCTTTACAATTGCAGCTCGCCTGCGAAACCTTTTGTTTAGATCCAGAAGAAAGCTTATCGGATGCGTCGCTGGCTTTACAAAATGAGTCGCTCACTGTGAATACCGTGCGCTTGGTGCCATCGAAAACGCGTGGCTCACTAGAAGAGTTGCTTTCCAAATTCCACAACAAGAAAGTATATTGTTGCCAAATAAAAGAGCCACCACTCAATCTTACCAACACCGGCAACGGTGAGAAGACTACAATACTGTTGAAAATCAATGCGCCTGGCTTGGAATATGAGCCGGGCGATCATGTTGGCATATTCCCCGCTAATCGGGCAGAAATTGTTGATGGCATACTGAAACGATTGACTGGTGTAGAGGATGCAGATGAAGTGTTGCAATTGCAGTTACTCAAGGAGAAGCACACATCGAACGGCATATTCAAATTGTGGGAATCTCACGACAAAGTGCCACCGGATTCCGTGCGAAATCTACTGTTACGTTTCTTTGATGTGACTACACCACCAACACGTCAAATGCTCACTTTGCTCTCCGGATTCTGTGGTGACAATCAGGATAAGGAACGTTTACAATTGCTGGCCACTGATTCGTCCGCCTATGAGGATTGGCGCCACTGGCGTTTGCCACATTTACTGGAAGTGCTTGCTGAATTTCCCTCATGCAAACCACCCGCAACGCTTGTGCTGGTCAACCTAATGCCGTTACAAGCACGATTTTACTCGATCTCATCGTCACCGCGAAAGGTAAACAACGAAATTCATTTGACGGTAGCCATTGTACGTTACCGTTCAGAGGATGGCAGCGGCGATGAGCGCTATGGCGTGTGCTCAAACTACTTGTCTGGCCTTCAGGAGGCCGATGAATTGCATATGTTTGTTCGTAGTGCGCCTAGTTTTCATTTACCTGCCGAACATGCACGACCTATAGTTCTTATTGGTCCTGGTACGGGTATTGCGCCGTTCCGGTCTTTCTGGCAGGAATTTGAGATGTTACGTGAGATGAATGCAGATGTACCGTTACCGAAAGTTTGGCTCTTCTTCGGCTGTCGCAATCGTGATGTCGATCTGTATGCTGATGAGAAGACGCAGATGTTGAATGATAAAATTTTGGATCGCGTTTTTTTGGCACTTTCACGGGAGCCCAACATACAAAAAGTAAGTCCGTATTAATCATATACGCATGCCATCCATTTAATGCTCGTACTAGAGCAATACGTTTTATTTATCTTTTATAGCCCAAAATTATAATTTTTTTCGTAGACTTTGCTCTCATACATACAATATGTAGAAAGGGCTCGAGTTCCTTCTCGCAGCAGTACAAAGAAATTCAGTGGGGAAAGAGAGGGAGAGATAAAAAAAACGCGGTTTTTTAAATTGAGGTGACCAAAAAAAAAAAAAAAAATCAGAACAAAAATACAAAACCAGGTTCGCTATAGCATTCATTTGACGAACGAAGATTTGCATTATTTTGGGGTTTCCCGAAAGCTTTAACCTCATCCAAAAAGAGTTTAACTCCAGAAAACTAGAAAAGTCAAAATGGTATTCGCTTCCGTAGCGCAAATACTTGGTGCTAAAAAATTCATAAAGATCGCTTGATTTCTTTTTGAGTTAAGCCTGAGAAAATGCTGAAAATATGAAAACTTTTACATATTATTGCGATGTTACCGCAGGGAGCACCCCAATAGGCATCTAATAGAAGCTGAACCACCACCTAGGCGGATCAGAAAGGGAGTACTCGACTTAAAAAACTCCATCTAGCAACATGTACATCAACCGCTGGACAGGACGGCATACACACAGGCACTGAACGCTATTCACTAGGAGTCAGTCAACACCTTCAAAGACTCCCTTCTAGTGAATGACGTGCACGACGGAGTAAAAGCACAATCCATTGCAGACAACGAGCTCGAGCTGCCTCGACAGACCTGTGTGACCTTGGCATAGCTCAGGTTTGGATACCGTGGCACGTTCAACTCCTACTTATCCAGACTGGACCCCCGCATATCCAACATATGAGAGTCTCCGCACGAAACTACCCACCTCTTCATATGCATGCTTAAACCGACTTATCTAAACCCCCTCCACCTTTGGTCGAATTCCGTCGAAACAGCTCATTTAGATGACCTCGGCGACATAGATTAGTGAAACCTGTACCTAAGCGGTGATAGCGAGCCGCTACTATAACAATCGCTACTACAACAACCGCTACAACAACAACACTTTTTGTTCAATGAAGCGCCAATCGATGTACAACATTTTTGGTCAATCGGTCCTTTGTTAATAACAAATAAACTTCTTTCTACTCGTGAATATTGCCTATAATTTCGGATGGGGAAAACATGGGTTTTCCAAGTCAAAGCCGCAAATAGACATTGTTTGTGATATTTTATAGACATCGAGAAAGCTAAACGACTGGTAAACTGTAGTCTTTTGAAATGATGTGGGAGAATCAGCTGGTATTATCGGAAAACGTGGTTACAAAACGGTTTCTCCATTTCACCAGACATGTACCGTTGCATAGCTTGGGAGGGTTTAAATTTCGCTGTAGAATAATTTTTACTAGATATCGAAATTTGAAGAAAAAGATATTAAAAACTCTATTCACCAAGCTCTGGTAGTTTGTTAGGTTTTTTTTGTAAGAATGTTGGAAATTTCCTTGAAATCTGCTGAGCAGTTTATAGTGGTCACCACAGCTTTGAGTAAACCAGGTATTTTCGAATAACTTGAAATGTACTTAGCGATGACACTTAAAATCTTCGAACTGTATTTTTCAGGTTTTATTTAAAAAAAAATGCAAATTAGTAGATATACATATACATATATTGTTTTAATGCTGACTACCCTGACTACCTTTTACTGAATTTAGTTTATTTCAATTTGTGAGGTTTGACCAGCCACATTATTCCCTTGTCTTCCGTACTATAGCAAAACAATCGTGTATAAAATGCTCGGGTTGCAACTGAAGTTAACCATTCGTTATTTGTCTCCCTTTCAGACCTACGTACAGGATTTGATTGAAAAGGAATTCAGTTCACTTTATAAGCTGATTGTGGAGGAGCAAGGTCACATTTACGTTTGTGGAGATGTCACAATGGCGGAACATGTTTACCAAACGATAAGGTAAGAAAACGCTATAATAAAAAGTTGAAAAACATTACGAAGAGTTTGCAAAAAATATTGAAAATTTTGATTTTTCTCGGGCTACATGGGTAAACGCCCCGTATTGGCGCTGGCTTAGGTATCATAGTCTTGATTGTCAGTTTTGTGCATTAACATGGAAGGGTTTAATTCAAACAGTCCAAGGTCACTGCTACCATGCTAGAGTTTTCAAGTTCTGACGAAGATGCTTTGAGTTTGAAGATGACAGCAATCCGAAATTGTTTTCCAAGGGCGAGCTAAATGATTTAGTGCGAGACTTGAATCTTACCAAAAACACTGTTAACTTGAGCTGCTTAAGTCTTAAAAGCATGAAGTTTGTTTTTTTGCCAGAAGTATCTTTCTGCTGGTCCCAAGAGCATAAGCTTTTTTAATGCATGCATTTCAGATCTCATGCGACCCAACATAGTGGTGAATGAAACTAGATTGCTCTGAAAGATGTCTTAGATCAATTCTGCTTCAATTTGTTCCTTTTCTTGTCTGGCATTCGGCATACCTCAAGGAAATCTTCAAAGAACTTGAAGTTTATTAGTTAGTTAATTCTAAAGGTTGCTCGGTCACAGAGTCTTGATCAAGCGTACTTAGTGCTGAGTCCATTGTGATATCTATATATGTTGGGCCGGTGAAGGAGATTCCTATTACCTTTCCAGATGCCCAAAGCGCTTGGCGTCTTTTATCAAGTTGAGGATTTAATTGATGCCTACACGTGAAAGCTCGTCAGGGCGATTGAGGAAAAAATTACCCGGAAATCGGGAACGGACCGATAATGAGAGAGAGAGAGATATTGATCCAACGACTCCCCCTCATCTACATGCCTGCAGCTACCATACACAGCAGGAGTAGAGGTTTAGTTCAGTTTATCGCAATTAATAGTCATAATTTTCTGTTTCGTTCTGCTCTCTGCTGCTGGCCTTCTTTTTTTTTTTGAGGAAGAGTCATGTGCACAGTCTACCATGATTATCACTATTCATTTTCTAGCTAGCTCGTCTGCTATGCAGCTTCTTGGGATGTCCTTATGACAAGGTACTTCCAAGAATGGTGTAGAGTTTAATATTTGCAGTTTCTCTCTGCTGCGGTTGAGTTGCATTTAGTCGTATGGCGTTTGCATCTCGCATGAAGTTTTCCATATAATTGTACTGGGCGATTATTAAGTAGAATTTCAAGGGCTTTCGTAGGTGTTGAAGACAACTCTCTTGTAATGGGTGTTTAGCCTGCTCCTGTGACTCTGTAGAATTAATTGATTTTATTTTTTATTTTTTTTGTATAGTTAGTTTCGAAGAATGCGATCATTCGGTATTCCGGTACCATGTGAACTTGCTATCTAAGGTTATGTCGAGGTATTTCATCTCAGTAGATAGAGCCATCTCGATGTCTTGAGGTAAAGACGTTTTTAAAGCAGATGGCTAACATCTTCTGGCGAGGAGTACCGGCTCGGTCTGTTATGTCTATGAAATACTAGAGATGGAATAGATCAGTGGACTAAAAAGTTTTGCCTTCCGGAGGAGTTCAACGTTAGTGAAAAGAACGTTCTGTTGGAAGTTTTGGTGCCATCACATAAGTTTACGATTACCACCGATTAACTTAGCGCCAGGATTAATGCTGCAATTCGCAAAGAAATTTCCAAGAGAAACCAATTGTCAATAGCCAAAGTCAATTGTCAAAGATTTCAGGCTTCTTAGGGGAAAAGTTGAAGGAAAGTCAGATATTAGACATCTCGCGGCTGTACCAGAATTCGTGACTACCATTTTCTTTAAATAGTTCATTTTTTCGCTTCTCGACATTTTAAGGATCGAAAAGAGATACCGGAGAAGATGGAGCGTCTCAATGACGGTAGACTACTATTTAATGCTTCAGAGTTACCTTTCAGATTATTTCAAACAAAAATGCACCAAAAGGAGTCTCACTGTGGGGAAAAAAGTATGCACAATTTAATCCTCTCTGCAAGAGTAAGGACACCCATGAAAAGACGGCGTCTTGCGACTATTGAGGAGATAAAGAATAACACAGCTTAAAGAGCTCAAGGGCATGGTTGATTGGTTGGTTGGTTGAAGTGATCGTTGGGCATCAGCACGCTTACGCAACCAAACCAGCCCATTTGGATACCACTGAGGATTCTAATGACTCCCACGCGCTAATCAAAACAATGTGTGGAGTTAGCAAAACTGAACTTTCGTTGTACCTTTGTCTCCGTTATCTTGCTCAAATCTTCAAAGGTTTGCTGCAACTAGAGACTTAATCTACTCCTGCAAAGCGCGGGATATTCGGGTACATTCGTTAAGGAAGTGCCTTAAGGTTTCAGGTTCCTCTTCCCGTCTACAACTTATGCAGAAGTCGTTAGATGATAAATCCAACAACTCTGCGTGCAATAGAAAAAGCCCTGTAAGAAGACCTATTACTATATATATACATATATATAATAAAATCACGTGACCTTTTTCTATGATGGCGGAAGTGAAAGGGAAATGCTCTTCCTTACTAGCTCGGCCGTCATTTCATTACCCATAGCAGCTTCAAAGAGAACTATTTAGTCGCGATCATTATCATGCTCTGCGACAGTTCTCTACGGTTTCAATTTTATTTTTACAGATGTCAAATAAGGAGATTTTCTGAGAGCACCACTGAGCTGAGGCAATTGACAGTCTCATGTAAGCCGCCAGTTTGCCCTCATAAGACCAGACTGATCCGGTAAATGAAAGGATTTGTAAATATCAAGAGAAGAGAGAGAGAAGAGAACCTTCAGCCTCAATTGGTGTGGTTGTAGCGCTCCGCTAATACACAGGTGCGCTGTCCGCTGCACTCTATGAAATTTGCAGATCGTTGATTTTTTCTCTAGTGTTGTCCACCAAACTACAACTCCATCCAGAAGTATAATCATAACAACTTTAATTTAAAGCCAAGCGCTCTCTTAAATGAGATGCTCTGATCTATCGCACTTTTGCAAGTACAGATGACAATCCTTTCTTCCGAGTTCTGTGGTCAGCTTGGGTGATTCCCACATATTGTGCTGATTCAAAATTGTACAGGGCTCTGTTCCTAAGAACATTGGTGTTGAAAACATAGTGCAGAGAATAACCCTAACTCAGCATCATTACCCCACTTTTCTATTCGTCTTAGCTCAAGGACGTAGTAAAAAGAGAATATCGGAATTACTTCCGGTATTTAAAAATAACTCAGACCTTGTTTTCTCCTTCGAATTTGAGAAAAATTAAAATTTACTTTATTTTTGAACACATTTTGTACGCTAAATTCTGATTCTTAGTTTGTTTCACAAATGAAGATAATGCAAGAAAAACAACACTTAAATGATCGATAACACCTATAAAATTTGAAGTATAAAAGATGCCATTTACTGCGATTAGATTTTGGCTTCACATTCTCATATAAAAACCATTCGTTTCATCCGATTTTTTAAGCTTCTACGCGGTGAAGATCTGAAAAGGCAAATATAAATAAAAAAAAAAAACATTTATCACGCTAGCGATTCGCCTTCCAATTACTTATGTACATACGGATATAAGCGTATCAAAAAAAAAAAAAAAAAAAAAAAAAAAAAAAAAACAATAAATTTATATGTGTGTTTACAAGGAACGCACATAAACTTGGCTACAATAAACATATTTGCTGACAAAAACATTGAGCAAATAGTGCTGTCGACAGAGTGCAAGACGTATAACGCGAACAACTTGACTGTTGCCACTGACTAACAGTATTGTTGGATAAATCGTTGGCATCTCTGATGCGTGCTTCGTTTCATTTGTGTAAAAAAAAGGAGAAGAAAACACACTTGATTTTCTCAAGCATGCAACTTTTTCGCTTTTATAAACGGCACACTTAAGACCCGGCAGGAATCTAAAGGTGATGACTAAAATATCTGGCGTATTTCAAAGGGACTTAACTAAATCAGTTCAAATTTAAATTGCATGAAATAACAATTGAAAATTAGGCCAGGCTAGTCGGTTGCTATGTGACAGATAGATTCTATGTATTGTCAGATGGTGGTAGAAATTAATTCTAAACTACCAAACCCAGCCACAAAATGAATGCCCCGAAGTAAGGCAAACGCAAGATTCGGATCGATGCTTATATTGATGAGTGCATAAGTGCGTGCCCGATTTCAAGTGCAAACTAAAATTGAAATTTTTTTAAGAAAGCGCTTTTATTAATCAATTATGTATTCGCCTTCATGTTCGGCAATCCACTCCCAACGTTCAACCAATTTACGGATGCCTGATTCATAGAAATCGCGCGGTTTCTCGTTGAAAAAGGTGTCAAGGTGGTTTTTGACGTCTTCCACATTTTTAAATTTTTTTCCATTCAAATTGTTCTGCAGCGATCGAAACAAATGATAATCAGAAGGTGCAATGTCGGGTGAATATGGGGGATGCGGCATGATTTCCCAATTCATCTCCTTCAGTTTGGCCAGGGTCGGTTTTGCAACATGTGGCCTGGCGTTGTCATGATGGAAAAGAACTCCTTTGCGATTGGCCAAAATCGGACGTTTTTCATCAATTGCTTTCTTCAATTCGACCAATTGCTGACAATACTTGTTGGCAGTGATCGTTTCTCCAGCTGGCAAGAGCTCAAAATAGATCACGCCTCGGATATCCCACCAAATGCACAGCAGTACCTTCATCGGATGCAATCCACCTTTCGACATCGGTTCCGCCCCTTCGTGTGCCTGTTTCCATGTTCTTTTGCGTTGAACATTGTTGTACAGGATCCATTTTTCATCACCAGTCACGAGCCGATCCAAAAAAGGTTCGTTTTTGATCCGTCGAAGCAAAGAAATTGCTGTTGACATACGGTCCACTTTGTTTTTTTCACTCAACTGATGTGGCACCCATGTATCGAGCTTCAAAGTGTACCCAACCTTTTTTAAACGACGAAACGCAGTTGATTTGTTGACGTTCAATTCACTGGCAACCTCTTCCGTCGAAATACGTGAGTTATTCGCAACTAAAGTCCTTAGAACATCGTCATCAAGCTCAGAAGGCCGTCCACTGCGAGGTTGATCTTCGAGGTTAAAATCTCCAGAACGAAATTTCGCGAACCATTTCTTTACTGTGCAGAGTGCTGGAGCGCAGTCCTAATAAACTTCGCGAACATCTTTAGTTACAGCGCCTACTGTTTTTCCTTTGCGAAATTCGTATAACATAATATGACGTATATGATCTTTTCCGTTGTCCATCTTCCATGCGTCTTTTCACTAAGCAACTCAAATCAAAATGAAGTTATTTATGCTTGATTTACAGTTCGGACTGTCACCTTTCCAACGATATATAATATGTACATATATATTTCTTTCACAAGCGCCACTCTCAAACGATTCGAACGGCATCCAGCGGAATCGGGCACGAACTTATGCACTCATCCATTACAATGAAGTTCAATGAGTTCAGGAATACTTTGTAATCCGCAGTCGCAGAATAGTACTAATTTTTGGCATTCTGTCGGTTACTTCGGTGATAACTTTCCCATAAACAAAGTGTCGTTAATATTTCTAGCAAATCGAACTTGGTTTCAGGTTCCTGCTAAGCTAAAACGATCCCTGTATATGTATAGTTAATCAAATAGATCGACACACTTGCCATAAAAAAAAAGATTTTCAAGTAAAGCTAACTATTAGTCAGTGGTTTACTTTCCGGTCTGAGCAATAAGCCAACTATGTACCGAAATAAAGGTAAATCAAATAATAAATACGACTTTTCGATTGAGTCGATCCCTGGTCCTATTCACGGAGGGTGATCTAACACCATCAATGAACCTGGTTTAAAGTAAATACAACTTTTTTAAATATTTCAGTCCGTAGTCCACTATTCGAAGCTAAGCATTTTTTTAAGTAAAAAACTACCTGGATGCAGAATTTCAAATGAATCGAAATATAAATACTCTTTATAAACAGTTGCTTCATTGAAGTCGTCTGATCTACTGACCTCCCTGCTACCGAGAAAGTTGTTGTCATAACAGGACGTTGGTGTCTTGAAGTATTGTTGCAGTAAATATTTTAGCATTAAACGTTGGATGAGGCTCTACTCAACGTAATATTTGCCTGGGCACAGAGAAATGATGGTTAGATTAGGTAAGGATATATTGGTTGGCGTCACGCCTTTTATACTCGTATACCTGCTGTAATATCAAGTGGAGTTTCAATTTAGTTCAAACAGCGAGGTGTGAAGACTACTTCGTAGGACGTCAATGCTTTTTGCAAAGTTTACGAGAGCCTAGATATCTCATTTTGATACTTCATCTAGTACTTTGTATTGAGAAGCTCCTAGATATCTAAGACGCGTTCTAGTTAAGGCCTGACAGAAGCAGAGACGATGCTCCAACGCCGAACTCAAGCCTTCTTCCCAACACTCTCTGCCTGTGTCAGTGTTACTCATGCTTATTCGGTTCACGTTTGATGGTAGTAAGTTGTGACCTGTCATTACAGCAACCAGCAACAGCCTTGCAATCCCTTCGAGTCCGTTTGAGTATAAAATCAGCTTGTTTTCCTTCATTGCTTCTTTCTTCTTGACGATTCTTAGTCTATTTATCGTACTGATTCTTACAGTATTTCTTGTACTGATTCGTTAGCCAATCGCATGGCACTTTTGGACACTATTTCGTTGATTATGTAATTGTGCCCTGGAACTCAGTTTATATGCAACCGTTTGTATTTGTAGTCGCCACATCTACTGACTCCCTGCTTCTGAGGACATGCTCTGACGCAATACCATTTGAGGATATTGGCTTTATTGCCACATGATAATCGAGGTATATATTAATATTTTTATACGATTTTCTGGTTTTTTTGCTATCTCAGTAGCCGCTCTAACCGCGAAGATGACCGCGCCTGGAAGATACTGCAGTAAACTGGAAGTTTAAAGGGTTGGCTGAGATTCTGAGCCCACTTCTTCAGCCATTTTTGATCCGCCCATGTATGAGACGGCTGCTTATTATTGATCCATATCTGTAAATCTAGCAAGATTCGTTAAAAAACTGACCCTATCCAACCTCTGTGAGTTAGGGGTACAAGTATTTACACATGGAAAGACATGTCTGTCCTAAAAGACGTCTAAAGTTCAATAGTTTTCGCGATAGTCGGTTCTTTACACCAAAACAACTGAAGTTTTTATTCCGTCAAGGACCGTTACTCCTACAATATTCAGCCAAAAACCAAATTGAGGAATGTATTTGCATTTACAACAATAAAAACACCTACTTAAAAGTGCTGAGGAATGAATTATACTTATACTGGTTAACTTTCTACGCCTTATTGAGCTATGCCCGAAAGCTCTGGCAGAGAATTCACTGCGACGTTTTATAATGCGTCGTTACTTGGGAGTCGCTATTTTAGTATTCCTAAGCGCTAGGATTTGGTTTAGTGTTGCGAACCTCTGTATTCTATTAAATTGGTTTTGGTATGAGCTCATTCTAGGTGCGGTAACTCGGGTGAAAGCGCCGTAAAGTAAGATTAGCTCGACCATAAATGTACTGAGCTTGGGCAATAGGTTTTTTGCATCACCTTAGATCTTCTTCTAACAGCGTAAAGGGTCACTAGACCTTCCACGCCCTCTACCCTACATTAAGTTTCTATAGATTTCCGCAGAGTTCGCTCATCAGTATTAGTTCAAAATGCTTCATATGGATTTATTAAGTGACACTTCCACGATCTTCAGTCTCTTGAGTTTTTTCGTTGGAATCTCGAGAGTATTCTAGAGAAACTTTTCATATATTTTCTTTCAATTATTTTATTATTATTATTATTTTTTTTTTCAAATTAGTCAATCACATCCAATTGAAAAAACATTGAATGCATATGTGCACGAGTATTTAATTTCCTACAGGGATCATACTACAGACTCGTACTTACGGAAAAGTATTTAAACATTTCGCATACGAAAATGTTGTGACAACTTTCACACCTCTCGCTTGTTTTTATTTATACTTTTACCTTCGCAGCTGCAATTTTCACATATTCTTCCTACACTTTGTTTTTCTTTTCAGGAAGTGCATTGCTAGGAAAGAGCAAAAACCCGAAACGGAAGTCGAGACATTTATGCTAACATTGCGGGTAAGTCGAAAGCAAAGCAAGTATGCATGTGAGCTCGTAAAAGTGAAATGCTTTCAGGAATGCAGGATGTGAATGCTTCATGGAAGCTCTTTTACATAAATACTATATGTTACATATTTACATACGTGTATCTATGTATGCACACTAGTTGTATGCTATATATACGTGTACATGCTTTATATTATATCTACTTTGCTTAAATTTAAACTCAAATCATGTTGCATTTCTATTTCATATTTTTACACTCATAAACAAATGACTTTGTACTCATTTACGAGTATATATGTACAAAGGTGTGTAACTAAAAGCAAATTTTTTCGATGGAACCACCTTCTTACTTGTGAGCAAAAAGTAAGGTGAATTTTTAATTTGAACTTTGCGCTTCGCGTTTATTATTGGGTGTCGGCATTAATTCGTGCGGGTTTTTGGACTTTATTGTGAAAAACTCGTTATACATTTAATGTTCAAAGTATTGCCCATCGGAAGCTACGACGTTTGCCCATCTTTCTGGCAGTTTGTGGATCCCATCCCGAAAGAACTTCTCCGGTTTGGAGGTCAAGAAAGAATCAAGCCAATTTCTGATACCCTGTTCTGTTGTGAAGCGTACTCCGGTGAGAGCATTCTGCATTGATCTGAACAAGTGGTAATCGGTAGGTGCTCTGTCTTGGCTATAAGGTAGAACTTCCCACCCACAGTTTTCCTAATAGTTTTTAACTGGTTTTGCAACATGTGGCTGAGCGTTGCCATGATGTAAAATTATCGATTCGTGTCTGGTCGCTTATTCCTGTCGTTTTTGCGCGTTGGCCTTTTTCAAATGAATCAATTGTTTTCGGTAGAGGTCCTCATTGATCGTCTGACCCGATTTCATTAGCTCATAATAGAGCACACCCTTGTGGTCCCACCAAATACATAGCATAACCTTGGCACCATGGATATTCGGCTTCTTCGCCGGATTAAGCGTCTTGTGACTTCTGCCTCTATCAGAAACTCAAAAGACCATTTCGAGAACAACGTTTTGAGTCGATTGCGGAGATCAAACGTGAATCGGCGCGTTCTCTGACGGCCATACTAGAATGTGACTATTTGACATGCTTCGATAATTGGAAAAAGCGTTGGCATCAGTGCATTGCCATGGCAGGGGACTATTTTGACGAAACCAATGTAGAAGTAGGAATAAAGATTCGCAATTTTTGAAACAAAATCACCATACTTTTTGCACACAGATTTTTTCGAGATTTATATAATACAAGCGTCAACGTCGGTGGACCAACCTCGTTAGATTTATGGGCAAGACTTGATATTTACAGCTGTTGGCAGCTAATTGGAAGCGATGCTTATTTTAAATTGAATGATATTTCTGCCTATTAAAACACGCATTTTCACAATTTCTTTTCTAATTTTATTTAAGCAAATACAAAATCTAAAATCATATTCTAAGCATTTTATTCAAAATTAATTTTTAGATATTTTTTTATGTAAAAACCTGTGAAATCCATGAATTAAGTGCAACACACAAATTGAAACGAAAATATTTTATTGGAAATAAAATAATATCAAAATAAAATAAAAAGTAAACACTTTTAGTTAGTATTTGGTTGCGTAGCCCTTCTGCTTCAACACTGCCTCACACCGATTTCGCATTGATGTTATGAGATTTCGACGGCTTGCCATGCCGTTGTTACTTCCTCAAAAAGGACATCCATTTTTAGAATAGTTTCAACACTAAAGACGGTTTTAATGTCACACCAAAGGGTTCAAGTCTGCACTGGATGATGGCCATTCTAAAACATCAATAGAATTTTCTTCAACAAATTTTTTCGTCAACTTTGCGGTCTGATTTAGATCGTTATCCTGTTGAAATTTCCATATAACAGGCAAATTCTCCACAGCCCAAAGCACCATGGAAATTTCTAGTATGTCGGTTATTTGTCGTGTTTTAAAACTCCATTTATTCTATAGAGTGGACCGATACCATTCAATGAAAAACATTTTCATACCATGATTGATGCTCCAATATGCTTCACTAAGCGTGAAACATAAGGAGTATTGAATTCTTGGTTAATGGGACGTCGCACATAGCTACTACCATCTGGACCAATGCGATTATTTTTCGCGTTTCATACCTCCGTATGTCATTTCGACTCGTTTAGGATCCAAGAGCAATGTGAATGGGCAGAGTCTACTCGCCGTTTTCTTTGGATTTTGGTCATTTTGGTTGCATGAAGTTCAGATTCGATGAAGTTCGGAACGCCTTTTTGGGTCTTTTCGTGAAATCACTGATATCCTGTGGTCTATTCCTGCTGAAGTTTTCCGGGGCCTTTTGTGCGTGCGACATTTGCAACAGTTTTAAAATTTTGCATATGCTTTAGGCATTAAAAACCATAATTTTGGAACATTTGACTTACTCTGCAATTTGACGGTATGACTTTCCAGCTCTGCGTAGCTCAAAAATAGAGCTACATCATTCAAATGACCGATTCGCATTAAAGACGAATTCGATCAGTTTGAGGTTATTTTCGACCACATATTGGGTGATATCTCGCCCATAAAAAATGTTGCTTTTCAAGTGTTTAAGAATTAAAGGTTAATGCGCGGTTTTGGGTAGCTCCTCGAAAGTGTCAAATTGCATGATCTCGGTGGCTAGTTGACATTGCCAAGGCAAGAGATTACGCATTTGGAAAAATTTTGTTGAAGCCTTATATTCTCAAAGTCGTTTTATTCAATTGCAGGCCAAAGGAAATCGGTTATCGTACGACCAAAACACTCGGAACCGACAGTGAAAATCTCGCCGTTGTCGTTTTCAAGGAAGTGAGGTCCAATTACAACTTCGGACTAAAGACCGCACCAGATAGTAAGTTCTTTTTTCTTTCCATTATTTGGGAATTATTGGATCCCCAAAAGCGTCTATTTTTCTTATTTACGGATCCATCGAGTGAGAATGAGAAAAGTCGCCGTCAACTAATTGTTGTTCGAGCACCCTATCGATGTATGCATAGATTTGCGAATGGTCAGCTGGCTTCTGTTGTGTGAACTGGACTTTGTATGGATATTGGTGATAGTCCAAATGCAAGTGTAAGAAGATCTTGAAAACGTCGTGAAATATACACATGTGGGTCTTCGGGTACACTGGACTCACATTATCTGTAACCGATACCGTCGCTTAAACTTCTTAAAAATTTTACCACTTACCGTTATGGCTCATGCTTCTGCACTATATAGTAGAACGGGAATGATGAGGAACCTACAGAGTTAGGATTTGGTTGGTCTAGAGGGGACTTTACTTCTCAGCTTCCTACTCAGTCCAAAGTAACACTGGTTGACATGCATCAGTTTACGTTCGGCTCCTCTTCTTTATGTTAAAGGCTGTTTTAAAATCGATATAAAGGTGATACGGGTCAATCTTTTTTTCGGGACTTTTCCAAGACTTCGAGCAAGGTGAATATTTGGACAGTCGTAGTTTCTACTGGCCTAGGGCTACATGGTGGTCTAATCATTTTGTAATTGGCGCAGAGCGCCCTTAGGTGCAAATCGCCGACCATGTTTTCATTCAACCATATTCTGCAAAGAAGCTGATGCATTCATTTTGTCAGTTCTTCATCACCATGCTTGATTGGCTTAGGCGATAAGCTATCGGCATCAGTTGGTTTGTTGTTCTTTACGCAAGAAATCGCTATTCCAACTTTTTCATAGTCAGGTATTGGAACGCATTTTCTATCACCCTCTACACTTTCATTACTATTCGGCAGGCAGGAGAAATAGTCCTTCCTCCATTAGTTTCGTATATTCTTCTTGTCAGTCGGCTTATAATTTCTTTGGGTATTAAAAGAGTATTCTCCAGTTTTGAAACCTTCTGCGATTCGCCTTTGTCGGCAAGTTTCTCTTGCTTACGAATTTTGGTGTCACGCTTCTTCTGCTTTCAAATGCGTTTAGCTTCCTATCTTAACTTTTTTGCATCTGTCCCACACGTCGAGGTAAGCACTCTGTTTTCTCTCCGTTGCAGTTCGGAATTTCTCATAGTATTAGTTCTTATTCTGGGTCTTTCCTGCTACTGAATGGTGATACGAGTTATGTTCTCGGCGAGTATGCGCATCTAGAACACTGAAGATATCTCCCTCGTTTATCACAACAATTTCATTTAATTTCATTTAATATGATTTTATTTTTCTCCTCTGTTTATTACCATCAGGGTATACATCAAGTTTTCATACATTGAATTATTTATCATTTGTTAAAACTAAAAGTTTTTACCATTTAAAATGGATAAAAAATATGTTGAATACAGGCCTATTAGAAATAGTAAATAATAATTAGTTTATATTTAGAAATTTCTAAACTATACTGGTTGTTGATAATATAACAGCCTCTTGTATCAGATTTATTATTATTTTATTTCATATTTTTATATCATTTTATTCAATTTTTTTCTCTTATTATATTTACTTTAATTAAACTTTATTTTATTTTTTTACTTGTTTTATATTATTTCTTTTATTTTTATTTTATTAATATTATTTTAATTTAATTTAAGATTTTTTTTTAATTAATTTTTTAAATTTATATTAATATATTTTAATTCACCTTTTTTTAGTTTAATCAATTTTATTGTATATAATTTTTTTTTAATTTAATTTTGTTTTAGTGTATTACTTTTTATTATATTAATTTATTTTATTTTACTTCATTTTGTTTTATTTTATTTTTTACTTCATTTTATTTAATTTTGTTTCACTTTAGTATGTTTTATTTAATTTAATTTTAATTAATTATATTTATTTTGTTTTATTTTAATTTAATTATTGTAATTTTATTTTTGTTATTTATTTTATTTTTATTTTTTTAATTTAATTTAATTTATTTTAATGTAAATTAATTTTACTTCATTTTATTTTGTTTTAATTTAAACTGTTTTATTTTATTTGATTAATTTAATGTAATTTAATTTTATTTTTATATATATTTTTTTAAATTTATTTTAGTATGTTTATTTCACCTTAAATTATTTTATTTTAATTTAATTTTTGTTATTGTATTTAATTTAATTTATTTTTGTTTTATTTTAGCATTTTTAATTATATAATAATTGATATTATATTGGGTTGCGCAAAAAGTAATTGCGGATTTTTTAAAAGAAAGTAAATGCATTTTTAATAAAACTTAGAATGAACTTTAATCAAATATATAATTGCCATNAAAGCAAGCTAAAAGTAACAGCTGATAACTGACAGAAGAAAGAATGAAATTACAGAGTCACAAGCCGACTATATGAAAAATCTGCAATTACTTTTTGGGCAACCCAATATTATTTTATTTTATTTTATTTTGCTTTATTTTTTTACTTCATTTTATTTTATTTTGTTTTAGTTCAATTTATTTAGTTTTGTTTTATTTCATTTTATTATGTTTTAATTAATTTAATTTTATTTTACTTTACTTAATCTAATTTAATTAATTTTACTTCATTTAGTTTTATTTTAATTTAAGTTATTTTATTTTGTTTAATTTAGTTTATCTTAAATGAATTTAATTTAACTTTATTTCAATTATTTTAATTTTTTTTATTAATTTTATTTTATTTGATTTAATTTTATTTTAATTTATTTAATGTAAATTCATTCAATGCGAATCAATTTTACTTTATTTTAATTTACTTCATTTTATTTTATTTAATTTAGTTTATTTTAAATGAATTTAATTTAAGTTTATTTCAATTTTTTAATATTTTTTTATTAATTTTAATTTATTTGATTTTATTTAATTTATTTCTTTATATTTTATTTTATTTTTTTAAATTTGGTTTAATTTAATTTAATTTTGTTTCATTTTATTTTGTTTTATTCTATTATATCTTATTCTAAGTAATAAATATTTCAATATCAAAAATGAAATGAAAGCATCGCAAACTGTGTGACCACTCAAACGTGCTTTGCTTATGCTTCTCAAATTAATAGATATATTAATATATATATAGATATACATATACTAATTTCTTTCCCTATAAATTTTGCTTTTCATATATTTAACTATTTGCTCTCAAAAAGGACGCCAACCGTTATCACGAGGACATATTCGGAATCACACTTCGTACGGCCGAAATCCATACCAAATCCAGGGCGACAGCACGCATACGCATGGCATCGCAGCCATAAGCGCAGCAGCGACACTTCAAAATCATATTTAAATTACAAATTTCAAATTGTTAATTAACAAAAACTAATCAATGTTCCAGATCCTTTATATAATAATAAAATTCGCATGCTAATAATGCGCAAAATTTACTTAAATAGGCAATTATTATAAAAACACACACTTATATTTGTTTATAATTATTATATTATATATGTATTTATATATTTATAACAAGTGTTAATATCGGTGAGCTAATTTGGTTAATTATATTATTTTGTTGCAAACTATCAAATCCTCATTAAAGAGTACTTATGATGAGCAAAATACTTATTGTAATTTCCGAAAATAGACAAATTTCAAATGTACATATATATGTATGTATGTATTGTATATTGTTAGAAGAAAATTTATATAATAATTTATTCATTAATGTTAACCTGCTATGTACCTTTGCATAAATACATGCCTACCAATAAATACAATTACAACTACAGACTCTATATGTATGTATGCATGTGTGTATTATGTATGTGTGTTAAAGCTTAACGTGAAATTTTCACACACACACACACACACACACATTTAACTAACTAATTAATGCATATTTAAATAAATATTTTCAATTGCAATCAACAAGCCATCGTCTTCTATTGTATTTGTTGGATATTTTAACAGTTATTTAGTAGTAAATGAAATGTCTTTGAAGCAAGGTTTGGGTAAATTTCGATGAATATTCGAATGTGTCTGATTAATTCCTGTGGACGTTTGGTATTTCCACATCATTGTCAATGTATGTAAGTAGTAGTGTTCACATTTATGCGAGCCGTGGCAATCTCAGTGTGTGCCAAAGAAGCCCCTCCAATGACATGCAAGCGTTTCTTTTTGTTGGAAGCGGCTCTTAGAAGTGGAACATGTGGAAAATCATCAATGAAATTTGGCATTAATCCTCGTTAACCGATTTAATTTTGTGTCTTGATATCCATATTGAGCTTAAACCTGCGACACAAGTGATATGCCAAAAAGCCATTACAATTTACAGGTTGGTTTTACTGTAGAGTGACTACAATTAGAGAGGATTTGTATGTACTAGAGTTCGAAGATGGTTTTAATAAGATTTCTGTTAGGTTTTTACGTGGTTTCTTTTAAACTACTTTAAAAAAAAAAAAAAAAAGTTGTCCACAACTTAATCTAGGGAAAGAGCTATCTACATACACGTATGTATGTTCCAAATATCAAGCAAATCGAACTAAGAATACGACTTTATCTTTAAATAACGATGGAACAATTTTGATGAATACTCTTGGCACTACGGAAAAAAATATAAAAAAATTTAATATAAAGTAATTAAAATACTATATATAAAGAAATAGGTAGATAAAATAAATTTAATAATAGTGCATAATTATAAAAAAAAATAATCAAATAAACTAAGTTTATTTAATGTTAAAAATATAAACAATAAAAATAAAAAAATATACATATATAAAAACAATAAATAAAATATAATTAAAAACAATACAAATTTTAAACAAATTTAAGTCAAGAATTAGTGCAAAAAAAAAAATAAAATAATATTAAATAAAATGAAAAAAAAAATTGATAATAATTTTGTACATCTTTAATATATAAAATTGTCAAAACTAAGTGGGACAACAAACCGCCAAATTCGGATCAATCTTCAGCACAACAATGCTGCGAGATCTCGCACCCTGACTCAAGCAACTGCACCGAACGACGTGTGGGTTGACCGTTTTTTGGAGTCCTGAACGCTCAGCAGAACGCATATTTTGTGGATACCTGAGATAGCAGAGTGACAAAAGCACTTGGACAACTGGTTCCAACACATGCAAGATATGTTCCTACCTTATAGGAGAACATTTTAAAAATCAATAAAGCGATTTTCAATGAATAATATATGGGAATGCTGCATAAATGCAATAAATTAAATTAAATTAAATGGAATGGAAGAAGAACCCTTAATATTTATTCAAGCCTACGAACAAAGTCAAGGAAAATTTTGGACCTGGTGTACCAAATTTAGCAAGTTATTTTAAGTATTCCTTTATCTGGCTGAGCTAGCTTAAACTTTTTACAAGGTCTGATATCCAGGGTTGTTACAGAAACCGACACAAAATCGCTTATATATAAGAAGCGAAAATCAATTTCTGTTTGAAATGGTGTTATGAAACCGACCTGATTTCGCTTTTTTCTATGATAAGGAAAACCGATATTCGAATCCGCTATCATCACACTTGTGCAAAAAATAACAGCAAATCAATTTAATTAATTCATTTTTGTGCAGGTATTAAAACATTTGTGATTATTAAAAATAAAATGACTTCGGCAGTGATAGCATTTTTGATGATAGAAGGATTTGTAGAAATAATCCAGATAAGAGCGATCCGCTGGAGCTGCCAGAGTGGATGTAAGTGCAATTTGCATTCTACTTTTACATTTGCTGATACAGAATTTGTTGGTATGTAGATCCATAGACCAATATTCTCTTAACAAAGAAGCCTTTCTAATAGTCCTTGATGTCATTGAAGACCAGTTGATAGACTGTCTATCCCACATGTGCTATAACTTGCAGCCACACTGCCGAAAGCTCATATTAACGGTCTGTGGGACTCAATTGTCTCCTGAGCTCGCCCTACAGGCTCTGTGGTTATAATACTAGAAATGCTTGTCCATGCTGGATAATTTATGGTATGAACGACAAAGGAAAACGGAGAGCTCGTGATCATTTTTACATCGAGTATCGTACTCCGGGCATTGCTGCTTGTAAAATCCATTTACATTTACATTTTTATTAAATTTACGCTTGCAAAGAAATTTGCACACAATTCTGTCAATGATTCTGACACTTAAACCGATGAATCGAGAAACCGACAAAACCGATATGGAAATCAATAATCGGAATGTGTAACCCCTTCAACAGATTCCGACAACAATCTGTGTCTGTTGTACTCCTGATTGTACTGTTTTAACCCCTGCTACATACTTATTTCCCAGACAAGCAGCTGTTCAAAGCAAATTGGATCCTAAACTGACCTTTCGTGCTGATCCTTCAGCCATTCAGAATTGTATATATTATATATTATATATAATATATATATACATATATTATTATAGATTGTCTATATTATGTACGAAGATATGTTGAGGAATGTTTTCTGTTGGTTACAAACATTTTTTTAAAGTTTTTTATTATTTACCCCACTGCGTACAGGAAATTTAGACATTTCTTATAATCTACCAGGCGATCATAACACAGACGGAAGTTGCCGCAATTAAAAGATGGTTGGTATACCAGTAAATAGGAAATAAACTCGAAGTTATTGCATAATTTCAGGAGATCATACACTTTGGCAAACCCTGAGTTTCGTTGCATACCATTAGGCGTGAAGATAGATAGTTTTGTTTTAGAAATCTTTTCACGTTCGAACAGCTAATCAAAAACAGTACGGGAAGCTATTTTGACTTTAAACGTAATTACGTAAATATCTAGCTTTCAAAAAGCTTTTCATCAAACCTAATCAGTCTAATATCAAATAAAGTTTTAGGTGAAATTTAAAGAACTTTTCTTCTAAACGAAATTTCATTTCTGCACAGCTTGTAAATATGTAATGTCATATCGTGGATACTTCTTATTCTCATTATAGCCGAGTTACCCACATTGCGTCATTCAAAGCTTCCTTTTGCTATCTCCAATTGGCGTCAGGAGATGCCAAGTACAGTCAGGTTCTTGGAGTGGAGGTCTTCAATATCCTCTGCTTCCACCTGCGGGTACTGCATCGAAAACTATCAAAGCTGCAGTGTTCTTTTCGATTTCGACCATAAGACGTAGCCAGCGCAGCCGCTGTCTCTCGATTCGCTGAACTGTGTCAATATCTCATACAGCTCATGGTTTCACTGGCTGCGGTATTCGTCGTTGCCAACTCGTAGAGGATCTTAAATTTTACGCAAAATCTGTCTCTCGGAAACTTCTAACGCCAACGAATCAGATTTGTCATCGTCCATGCCTCCGCATAATAAAGCAGGTCGGGAACGATAAGCGTGGAGATTGGTTTTCGTTCACCGAGAGATGGCTTTATTTTTCAGTTGTCTACTTAGTCCAAGGTATCATCTTTTGTCAAGAATAATTCTGCGCTGAATTTCAAGGCCGACATTGTCCAAGATAGACGAAGCTATCTACGACTTCAATTGAATGCCAACAGTGACGTGGAAGCAGTCCCTATTTAGCTCTGCCGCCCGTGTTACATTCTTAATTTTCTGCAGTAATAAATGAAAAAAGTCACTTGATAAGGAATCACTTTATGTGAAACCTCGTTTGATATCGAGCGGCTCAGAGAGCTCAATTTGTTGACCGTGGGCTTTAGTTATAAGCAATATTTGGGAGCTTGTCCCACGGCGATTCATTCAGAAAGTGGCGTCCCTCTTTTTATGGATTGGGCAGAGCACAATTAAATTCGAAACGTCGGGTATGCTGCAATCCTACCAATTTCAGCAAAAAGCTGATGCAGGCACCTCCGCCCGTAGGGACCTGCTGCTTGGCTTTTTCAGGCGGGTAATTGCTATTCGAACTCCTTCATAGTCGGTTAGTGAAACATCTGTTCCATTGCCATTGAATGGGAGGTTCAAGATCGCTATCTCCCGATGTTCCATTTTCAGTGCCATCGAGCAGGCTGGAGTAATGTTCTGGGTCAGTCACAAGATTATTTCTCTGGACCCTGTAATAGTTTTCTCCGGTCGTGAAACTTTTTGTAAGATGCCGCAGCTTTTCGTAGAATTTTCCTGTGTTACCTTGTCGGCCAAGTTATCAAGCTCTACATACTCACACATCTCGGTATTTTCCCGGTATCTATCTCGCCTCGCACGTACAGTGGTGGATAGCAAAATTGCGAAGAAGGCATATTAAGGGACTTGTTGACAAATGTTCTCATAAAGCAGGAGTGGACAACTGGCTGGCCATCTTTTTCGACGTTCGTTTTTTTGCTGCACAGAGACCGAATTGGTGCGAATTGATAGTTAGGAGAGTACGCATTTGTGGAACATCCGAAGCATGTGGGCTGAAAAAATGAAGGAATTGGTACATACAACTATTT